ACCTGTGTCGTCAGTCGCCTTTGGTGCGCCCGCGACGTTTCTCCTGTCGTTGTTAGATTAATATTCCGAACGTTACCTTGTTACGATGGCTTACCGATGCTCAAATGTTGAGTATACCGAAATGGTGCGAATTTTAGGAATTTGCAATGATAACGTTAGTGAAGCCTGCCGTGAATATTCAAGGCGATTTCCCAACTCACGTGCACCATGCTACGCTACGATGCTATGTGCTACACAGCGATTGCGAGATTACGGGCAATTCCAGCCTGTATCAATCGATCGTGGTCGTTCACCGCGGCGCACATTACGTGTGCAGGAAGACATACTGCAGTTTTTTTTTATCAAAATCCAGCAGCGAGCACTTATGAGGCAGCTCAACAGTTCAATGTGTCACAGTGTTACGCATGGAGTGTCATACACAATGAAGGGAAGTATTCTTTCCACCTGCATCGTGTCCATGAACTCAGCGAAGCTGACAAACCAGCGCGAGTTGTTTTCTAACTGGTTATTAGCTGCTGAACGAGCTAACATTTTATGGACTGATGAAGCAACATTTGGTAGAATAGGACTATTTAATTCGCACAATGAACACTTGTGGTGCTATGAAAATCCACATGAACCAAGACCGCTTAGCTTTCAACACTGGTTTTGTGTCAATGTGTGGGCAGGTGTTATTAATACAACATTACTGGACCCTGTCTTCATAGAAAGATTAAACGCTGAAAGCTATCATAGTTTTCTCACCAACACGCTGCCAGAATTATTAGAGAACATACCACTTGCATCTCTATGCAATATGTATTACCAACATGATGGGGCGCCGGCGCACTATGCTCGTCAAGTTAAGGATTATTTAAACAGAGAATACCCTGGTCGCTGGATAGGTCGTGGCGGGCCTTGTGCATGGCCTCCCAGATCGCCAGATATCACACCAATGGATTTTTGTTTATGGGGGCATGTAAAGACTTTAGTGTATACTGAAAACATGATTGAGAAACTTGCGACATGTTGAAAGAAAAAATAATTTGGGCATTCGAGCAAATCAAAATGAATCATCAAGTAATTTTTAAATTTGAATTTTAATATTTTTATTGAACCATTATACCTAAATATTTTTATTCAATTACGGTCAATTTGTATTATTTGTATTTAACCATTATAAATATTTTATTGTAATATTTGTAAATATTTTAACCTGCATCCATTTTTAAATACAACTTGTATTAAATAAAAGAAATAGTTAATAATACTCAACATTTAATTTGCACGTGCTGCAAACATCGATCACCAATAAAAATAGTGATCGATGGCTGCCAACTAAAAAGGGCAGACGTCGCTTTAGATAACGATGACACCTGTATCTACGTCATATACCTTTGGCTGAGCCTTGGGCCGTCGCAAGTGCGATGTTGAGGCGTTGCTACCCGCTGGAGGCGACATTGCCTCTTGGATGAAGGCAGCGTTGCTAGCAAGCAGTGTTCGTAACAAACTACCTGAATGTCTATTATAGAATGTCTATTAATTCGTAAACAAATTAATAAAATAATCAAATAGTTCATCAAATTGTTTTATGCAAAATGCAGAAGTATATGAAAAGTTAATGTGGAGTCATTTAAAGTGGCGCCCTGGTGCAATAGGTATAGTGGTCAATAGTTTAGCTTTAGTATGCACTCGCAACGTAATCAGTCGCTCGACCGGCCCGACGGAATGTCGCAGAGGTCATACTTACCTATTATAAATTTTAATATTTGTGATTTTCTTAATGTTATTTGCTTAATTAATTATGTTTAATGATTTCAACACAATGTGTGAAACTGATATCAAGTTTAAACTAAAAAAGGAATTTTCTTTGATGATTTATTCTGAAATTGTTTAGGTACTATAAAATAGACACTTAAAAGGAGTCAGATATCACAACAAAAACTTATAAGTAGTTTTTTCGTAAATGTATTATATTCTGTAAAGAGTGATCTCGCTAAAATTCTTTCTAATGATGCAAGCAATATATTCCCAAAAGTTCTTTAGTAAATTAAAAATGACCCTGTATACACAAAAACAAAAATAGTTTTATTAAAAATAGTGATGTACATTTCTGTAAACACTAGAAACAAGCACAAGTTAGTTATACCAGTTACTATATAGACTCCACAGGTTACCCCCTAATAGATATCGCATCATTGAATATTATTTTATGATGATTATTTAGGTACTTATAATACGTTTATTATTCATTTATACAAATTATAATAATCATATAATTAATTCTTATTATAATCATACAACTTTTTTTCAACGATGTGCCCACTACAGGAATTTCCGTATTTTTAGCTGCAATATCTGGCCTTGCACCTATGGTAGCGACAGGTGCCTAGAAGTAGTATTATTAATTAATACACCATACGGCACGTCTTCCAAATTTAGATGTACTTAATAATAATAATAAGATATTACTGAGGTTCATGTAACACTAGAATACCAAGTCAAAACAATAATCACATTATAACTTTTACATGTTTTATGATTTATAAATCCATTAAAAATAGTTTGATTTCAACGTGTAACATTCACCTAAATATTTGAATATCATGTTTCACCCAACCACTTAATGCTATTATTGTGCAATCTACATTGGTACTAATCTTTAAAAAAGGTAAAAGTCCATACCAAAACTGGCAAGTATAGAGCGTTAGCGTTTGTGGCCTATATGCGTATGAGGAATCTATTAGTATTATAATATATTATAATTTTTATAGAGGGTAATCTGTGTATAGACTCCAAAGAGTCAGTAACTCCTTCACGGGGCAACTTATACACTTTTACAACAAAGTTCAGTTTGTTCGAGTTTTTAAAAATAAAGTTATTTCTATACGTTTGAATAATGATCCTGATAACGTACTTAACGGGAACCACAGGGTTTTTGTAACATATTGTATATAATATCATATTACATTATACTGTAAATGGTGATTTTTTTTAAAAAAAGTCCCGCTGTGTTTCTTACTGGTTCTTTCTAGGACAAAGGTTTTTTTTTGCGAACCAGTGGTAGAAGCAAAAATTACTTTCAATAAGTATTATGTATTGTAATCTATATTGAATAAAAGTTCAAATATTTTTTTTATTAGGCAAACTATGAGAGGACTATGCTTAGCAGTGGATTTTGATGGGCTGTAGTCATCGATCACTAATAAAAAACTAGATACACAATCAGTGACAAAAAATGGCATAACCGTATGTGCACCCATTCGAACATATGGGTGCACATTTAATCTAGTAGCATTCGAATGCTCCGACGGTAAACATGCCTCAGTGCTCGTTCAAAAAGTGTAAAAATCACACATCCAGTACGCTAAAAAAGCATGGAATTTCATATTTACGGTAAGTATTAATATTAACATTATTTAATTGTTATAATTGTATTGTAAATACTGATATTTTGTCAAGAAATCATCGTAAAAGTATTTTTAAATTAAGTCTTAATAAAATAAGTCGTCATTGTTTGAGGTATATGCGTTGATTCTGTTCCATTTGTGGAAACGCTATTGTTTTTTTATTCCTTTATTATTAAAGTATGATTGTTTTTTTTTTTGTTTAATGAAATTTCTTTACTGTTTCTCTAAATATTATAGTACTCGAAACGTCAGGAATATAAAATAAGTTAATATACGCGATAAAATCCGTAAAACTAGTTTCATTTAAATGTGTAGTGAACACGTAAATATAAGAAATCATTATAATTATTCAGTCTTATCCGTTTTATTTAAACATCTGTAAATATGAACATTACGCCAAAATTTGGACACTAATATTATTAGATTTTGCAAGAACTTTCTGTACTTACTTTTTATATTTATTAACTATTATATTTAGATATAACTTGTTTGTCAAGCAATATCTTTAAATTTTTCACACAAGATAAAGAATATATAAATAATTATGACTGTTTCAATTACTTTCATTACTAAATGAATGTGGTGCCCTATCCAAAAGCATATTTACATTCAGTTAATAACATAACCATTACACATATACACCATAGAATAGTATAGAATATGCTTTATTAAGTAGACCAATTATTTAAAACAAGTTTAAAAAAATTGTAAAATTAAAATTACAGTAACAAAAAATATTGTGCAGTTCGACTCCACTCTCCTTGTCCAAGCGACGAGCCTCGGTCGTAAAATTTTATTGCGTTTTGTACGTTGCTTTGTCAATACAACTTTAGGCGTTTCACTTAAGGTTGAATTTACATTAAGGTATATTTATATCAACTAGAATTACGTCAAAACATTTGGCGACAGTTTTTAGAGAACTTTTGTATGGGATTGTGCATCTAGTTTTTTATTAGTGATCGATGGCTGTAGTGAATTAATGAATGAAAAACAAAATGTTATGAAAATCGTAATTTGATGGCAGCACTCACTGTATAAAGAAACACACTGAAGTGGTCACGCAAGATTTGTCTACCACTAGTAGGTATGTGCGTATATTATATTATTCTTTTGAAGAGGCCATTGAAATTAACGTGTAGGCTTAGGATGTAGAAACTATCATAGTGAATTTAAATTTATTTTACAGCCAGTGATTTATAGACTAATATAATCCAGTGATTTAAGCTTTTCGATTGAATTTGAAAGGCAGTATGGTCTAAGACTTTTTACCGGCCTATTTTGGCAAACAAAATGTAACAATAAGAAATAACAACAAACAACAAAGCTTTTACTTTTCTCTATGAACAAAGCAAACATCAAACAACAAGCAACAAACTTAACCTGAGAAAAGAAAACACCTTAATGAAAATTGAAAACCTCCCGATTTTATCTTAACTCTAACCACAAACGAAACTGAACTGAAACCACGAACTAAATCGATTTCGAGTCCGCATTTTGTTTTGACGTTCAAGTCCGAGCTCCGAATCTGGTAGTGGAAGGCACATCTAAGTGAAGAAAAATAAAGAAAGTTGCATTTTGAATGAATTCTGAAAATGAATATATATTTTTAAAATGATACGTTTGTACTTAGAAAATGGTGTTGCTTATGTTTGGAATGCGAACGGTAGTGTAGAACATGCCTCCAATAAAAATATTCAATATGTAATGCCAAAAGCTATGTGAATAATTTATATTCTTTTTTAGATTGGCACTTACTTCGTACAAAACATCGAGTTTGTGGTTCTTTAATAGGCTCAGTTCCTTCTTTACCGCGACAAAATGATTTTCAAGGTATTTAAATTTTACTTGAAGTTTATATGTTTTATGGTTTGTTTAAATGTACCCATTATGTTGTTAAGTGATAAACTAAATTTCAACTACTAACAACATGCAGCATTCATACATACTAAAAGACATGATTTTAGTTAAGTTCTTTAGTTAGCACAGGCTGGATGAGCAACAAGACATTCAAGTGGGTTAAAAAGATCATTTATTAATTATATATATTTTGTAAAATTTTAGACAAAACAAAAGATGATATTGAAATAGCAAATAGAATAGCTAAAAGATTGTGGATGAGAAAATGGATAAACACTAAAACTCTGTTGCATGAGCTAGCAAAAAAAAAAGGATTAAGCAAGATTATTTTCTTGTACTGAAGAAGTCATAAGACTTTATACATGGTAGAGTCATGCTGCAGCTATATTTCTGGTACAGTTGTAACACGAATGGGTCGGCTCGACCGGGGAAGGACCACGCTCTCACAGAATACCAGCGTAAAATAGCAGCTTAATGCTGCTGTGTTTCGTATGGTGAGTGTAGAGAACCAGACCCTTTTTACTGGAAATGAGACATTCCATCTCAGTCCCCACGGGTGACGACGCATCTGCATTTTGATTCATAATCGAGGATAAATGTAGATGTCTATGGACCACAGCAACCATTTACCATCAGGTGGACTGTGTGCTCGTTTGTCACCCTTATCCTATTAAAAAAAAAACAAATAATTATTAACTGTTATATTATGATGTACAGACAAGATGTATTAGACTGCACACTCTACCAAACTTATGCACTAAAGGCTTATTTACACAGGGTCAGTAACATTCATCAGTGGTGGCGCCGAGGACTGACTAACACTTTACATGCAGTCAGTAGTGAGGGTGTATTTGTTCTTGTGGGTTATTAATGAAGTCAGTGGGCAAAAATGAATTTTTGCAAAGGGTGGAATTTACAACGATGGAAATATTTGTTGAGAAAAGTTATTATATGCTGTTGAAAGAGTTGATAGAAATGTTAGAAGAGATATTTAAAAAGAAACTCCTATGGATAAGAAAATGGATAGATAGCGGAAAAGAAACTGGAGGTTCTGCTTTGTTGTTCACTATGGGTCACCTTTCAATGCAGCGCCAGTGAAGTACTGACTTGGTCGTTTAGACAAGGTAAATACCGCTGACGTGGGAGGTGGGAAAAGTGGACTGACTTCAAAATATTCAAGCAGGAATATTGAAATCAGCACTGGTGCGATGGTGCTGTACTGACTCCAAATCAATTTACACTATGTCAGTATCAGTTCATCACTGATTTGCCTGGAATTTGGAAACAGTTACTGACCCTGTGTAAATCAGCCATAATGTAAAATGTGTTATATTTACATAATTCTGTTCATTAATGTCAAAGAAGGCAAGGGTCAGTGCATCAGCTAATAATAGATTATGGGTAGGCGAAGTGTGGGACAGCCCCACACTAGATGGAGTGGGCTAGTGTGGGGCAGCCCCACACTAGATGGAGTGACTACCTAGTAAGTAATGCCAGAAGTTGATGGATGCAGGTGCCTCAGGGCCGTGCTTTGTGGCATTCCTTGGGGGGAGGCCTATATTAAGCAGTGGACTTGTTAAAGGCTGTAATCATGATAATGATGATGCATTCCATTAATGCTATAAACAAATAATGAAACTTTTCGTTTTTATTTATTTAGCATACAATTTTCCACAAATAATGACAGAGAAACTGTTTGTCATTTTTTGGGGATTTTCCATTCAATCAAGTTCATCAACGTGTCCTAATCGAACTGTTGTTGCAATGGTTTGTGCATTCTACTGTCACTGTAAGCCACACTCACCGCTAAATGAAAAATGTCTAAATTCTATTTTAAAGTATAGTTGCCATCTTAATTTTTACCTGTTACTTATTACTGAACATATTGTTTACATGCAACAATTTAGTTTAAATTAAGTTCATTTCTTAACAACTTAACACATTCACTGTCTTGTGACCCACATTATTCATTGCTATTGTTATACTATTGTGTATGGAAACTGGAAGGACAGTGAAAGTGATAACATGTGTATATCAGCCTATAACTTTTTTTTAAATATTTATTGAATGTGCATCAAATCATCTATAATACATAATCATCATTTATTGTTTCAGGATTGCCAATGGCATTAATGTCTGAAGAAACGGCTTTGTTAGTTGAATTGGGTATTTGTGAGTTATGTGTTGCAAAGAATATTAATGAAAACCCTTCAGAAGAAGAAAAACTAAATATAAAAAATTATGAACAAAGGTATTTATGTACTGAAACCTGCATATGTTACAACACATTTGTTTTGATATATCTACATGTTATTATTTTTTATATTTTAGGATTTTAGACGAGCAAACAGAAGCCTTTAGGAAAAAGAAAATTGAACAAATGTCACAGAAAATTGATATTATTGTTGCAGGAAAGCAGCAAAAGTTATTACTTAAAGGGATTACTAGTGAGTATGATTGTGATAAAGAAATTATTTACTTAATTCGGAACTGACATTGGTAAAAGATGATCAAGATTTTTATATGGTTTCAAAGATATAATTTATCATTGGAACTTCTTAAGTGCTATTTACATAGATAGTAGTTAAGAAGTACCATTAATATAGCATGATCATCATCATCATCATCATTATTATAGCCCACCACAAGTCCACTGCTGTACATAGGTTTCCTTCAAAGAATGGTAGGATTATCGTACAGACATAATTATTTGAAAGTTATAATATGTCATTCAATTTCAATGGATGTATTATCATTCTTATTTAAGCGTCTCCCACACAGAAGCGGCTTGCGGTGGCGGCCAGTTGTATTCGCTTGCAATGTAAGTGAGTCTGCAAACCCGTGCGGCCTTGTCGCGGTCTGGCAGCGGCTGGCCGCGGCCACATGTCCCGCCCCCTCCGCCTGTTAGCGAATGTGTGGCCTCTATCGGTAGCCAGTGGCCGCAGCGCGATAAGTTGCAAATTTTTACAACAGGCCGCGTGTACCGCGTGAAAAATGGTGCTAAATTGAGAGATTTTAATAAAAACAGTGCAAAATTATCCAGTACTTTATGATAATTCGCATCGTGATTACAAATGCATTAAAATTAAAAATAAAATATATGATAATATTTCTGAATATTATAAGACTTCGTCATGATTAGTCATGTTACTGACGTCCAATCGTAACACAGACACCTCAGCGAATGGCGCTTCTGGCCGCCGCTGCGACCGCGGTGGTGTGTTGTTGCCGCGGCTGGAGCCGCGGCTCGCGATTAGCCGCCACCGCAAGCCGCTTGTGTGTTTTAGCCGCTTGTGTGTTGACACGCTTTAAACAATACAACCCTTCCAGATTTAAAACCATATTTCCACGAATATTTTTTCTGTGGCTGTTGCCACAGAAAAAATATACGCGTCGGGACCAGCTAGTAATATAATAAAATCATAAATTTCATGTCCGTACATCATTTTTTTAAAATAATTAAGAGAGCTCAAATGAAGTAAAAGAGGTAGATATCGTTCTTAGAAGAAACTGTTGCCAATTTTATAACTTTGTGTAGGTCAGAAGAGTTTTGCCACCTTTTTTTTTTTAAAAAGTCCCTGAAAATTGAGATAAAATACTACTAATATAATATAAGTAATATGCGATGCGAATACGAAACTAAATCCGACTGCTTTAATAAATTTCAACAATTGGACAATTCAGAAAGAGATGACGATTTTAGGAAGCGTCAGTAGGATCATTTAAAAAACGTCTTAATGATAATGTTTCTTTAAAGAAATTGCGACCTTGACCAGTTGACCGTGTTTCTATTAGAATTTCAGGTAGTTAACAAATGCAAGGGATGATTGACGAATGTTATTTTCTCGAGTCTGTGAACTGTGTTCTTAAAAACTTTTTGCATTATGCCAACCCAACCTAGCCGCTTTACTAAGTACGAAGATACGGGAACATAGTCGCTCCGTTCCTTGTGAGCGAATATTTAGTAAAACCGGACTTACAATCAATGAACGTCGCACCCGTCTGGAAACAAATAAAGTGGCCCAACTAACTTATTTAAATGTAAATTTGGATCCAAACCGATTCAAAGTTTAAATATTTTAATCAAACTGCAAAATATGCGTAAACTGTAAATAGAAAAAAAAAACTGTACATAAAATCAAATGAACTTCTAAATACGCCTGCATTCTGTCTTAGACAAATTCACAAAAATAACTTTAAAAATGAAATTTTGCAGCCAGTCCTAGAAAAGTATGAAGGTAAGTTCAATTGACAAAATTACCTTTATAGCCAAATAATACGCATAGCATACATATTATAATACCTATAAACTGTTACACATTCGTAATTATAACAACATAAAAGTAAAACTAATATTATAATACCTATAACCTGTTAGTCTGAGAGCTGGCGACGAATTTTGGGAAGGTCTTTTGGGTAAGTTGAAATTGTGAAAAAATATGATGTCGTCATTAGGCGAATCCAGTCCCGCGAGTCTGGCAGAGCGTTTGCGGTTATTTTGTTACTGCGCAGCATATAACATTTGCAAAAAAATATTCCAAAAAAATGTTTTATTGGCAACTTGATTCTTTTTTATCTTTTAATTTAGTTTTCATATAATTCCAAAAAAATAATCCCAGACGTTTTTGTCGGTTATAAAGTATTACCAGACCTCTCCAAAATATTTTTTTAATTCCCAAAAAATATACTTTTGGCAATCTCAAATTTTAATCACGTATTTATTGAATAATTTTTTATAATACCTGCAAATTACTAGACGAATTTTGCGGTTTTAAACAATTTCCAGACGTGAATAAAGTTTACAAATGAATACGACAAAAAATTCTTATGCGTAGCCATAAGTGCGAGAAAGATAGCTTAGCGAAGCATGCCGACAGCGAATGGGGGCCTAAGTTCCTCGTGCTGTGATTGTTTATTAAGAATTATATTTTTTAAAGATTTTAAGATTAAATTCTTGTTTTGGGATTTAGCATGTATGTATGCGCATATATGACCATGTAAATATCTGTGTATAAAGTTTGAATTATTTTAGATCAGTGCTGTAATAATTTGTATAATAGCTATTAATTTTAACCTCGTAAGGCTTGGGCTTGGCAAAATATGTTTTGATAATTACCGCCCCATGTTCTTAGAAAAGTACAATATGTATAAAGTGCTTAACGCCCAGAGATGAAAATGAAACTTTTTTTGCAAATGTTACATGCTGCGCAGTAACAAAATAACCGCAAACGCTCTGCCAGACTCGCGGGACTGGATTCGCCAATTGACGAAATTATATTTTTTCACAATTTCAACTTGCCCAAAGGACCTTCCCAAAATTCGTCGCCAGCTCTCAGATGTTAATAATTTCGTAATCGTAACATAACATACAAATGCAAAACTAACCAACGCTATGCTGTATACAGAAGTAACTAGTTACAAAAATAAGCAGTTTTGAAAGTAGTTACTCATATCCACGAAACTACGTACAATCGATTACGTCCAAAAGACGTTACGGCCCACGTCTACTGACTACTGACGAAAATGAGCGTAGTTTGATGCACGTGTGTCCGTGAACGCTAAACTACGTGTCGCGAGACGCGATTCGCTCGCGCTGATTGCGTCAGCTAACTTGTATGGAGGTTTTCACATTGGCGCGAATATTCGCACGTGTTGCAGCGAAATATACGCGGGATAGTGACTGGATTTTCGTTGAATGCAGTTGAAACTTGAATTATTTTTACAAAAAGTAAAAGAAAACAAGATTCTATACCACCTCAGCCACGAAGACTATAAAAATAATAGGAAAATATATTTTGTTCGATTCTTGATAAAACTTCGTTATAGCATTCTTCTGGCTTACGAAAGTATATATAAAATCTTTTTTTATTTATCTTTTATTTTACCTACATGACACCGTTGTATGTGGTAGAGCCACGCTACAGCTATATTAGTGGTATAGTTGCAGCACGAATGGGTCGGCTCGACCGGGGAAGGACCACGCTTTCACAGAATAAGGGGCCGCCTCCACGATCGAGAGAATCGCCACGAGTCTGCGCTTCTATCGTCGGGTAGTCTTCACGAATAAGCGATTATTCCGACAGCGTATCGTCGCGACTCGTAACGGAATTGCCACGTTTCCGCGACGAGGCTTATGCAATAGTTTTGCGCGCTGTCAAACGCGGGCGGGACGCCTTTGTTTGACAGCGCGTAAAACTATTGCAGCGCTGCGAAAGCGCAATATTCCATGGAGAGCGTGCGGCGATACGATGACGTTTCGCTCGCACTCAGCCACTCGTCGCACCGCCGCGATAACATCGTCGTGTGTAGACATATTCTAAGAGAGTATATAGAAATACGTGGCACGATGATAAAATCGCCGCGATTCTCTCTCGCTCGTGGATGCGACCCCTTACAGCGTAAAATAGCAGCTTAAAGCTGCTGTGTTTCGTATGGTGAGTGTAGAGTACAGGAGACCCTTTTTACTGGAAACGAGGCATTTTGATTCTTAATTGATAATAGATGTAGATGTCTGTAGGTCACAGGCACCAATTACCATCAGGTGGACTGTGTGCTCGTTTGTCCCCCTTATCCTATAAAAAAATACATCTTGAGATTCTTCTTCAGTTAATGCTAATAACAACAAAACCTCAGCTTCAATATTAAACGACATGTTTGAGAACTAAGATGGAAAGCTAGTTTCCAGTAAAAAGGGTCTAATAAAACTACAATGAGGGCATCCACGACATTTTCTGTCACCAGGGCGGCGGCACTAGAAAGTGAGGTATAATATTTGACAGATTTTATAGCGGGGAAGTTAATTTGTTCGGAAAATGTTAAAGTTATTGTTTCTTTTAGTACTATTAGCTATATTTTATATTATTAACATTAAAAATAAATAAGCCAAACCACAGATATTCATTAAAGTAGAAAAATTAAAAAAAAAGTTAAAACTAATAAACTTTTATTAAAAAACAACTTCTAAATTAAATTATATTTTGTAACAAAAAACTTTACCTCAGTGTCAATTGGCAAATACGAAAAATATCCCCCTATCCTATGTAGCAATGTATGGGGGAGACCTATGTTCAGCAGTGGACTTTTGACAGGTTACATTTGTCACATGCAACCCAGCTGATGGTAATGAGGGCTAATAATCTTCCACTCACCAGATGTCGCTAGTTGTGACTGAGGTAAAATTTTTTGTTACACAATGTCAATTAATTGAGAAATTAGTTTTAAATAATAGTTTATCATTATCTAGAGTATTATATTAATACACAACACAATGCGTCAGTGGTTTGATTTTTAATTTTTTGCACATTATAACTCTTTTTTTTTTAAAAAGTCGTCTATTAGTTATATTTATAGTTTGGTTTATTCATTTCTAATGTAATTAATATAAAATATAACTAATAATACATAAAGAAACCTTAAAGATTACATTTTCCTAAGAAATTATCATCCCCGCTATGAAATCTGTCAAATATTTTACCTTACTCTAAAGTGGCGCCGCCCTGGTGGCAGAAAAAGTCGTGGATGCCCTCATTAGACACAATGGTCTATGCTACTTGTATTAATCTATCCTTAATTAAGAATTAAAAAAAAACATTGTGTTGAAGAGTTTAGTTTTTTGCTCATTCATGACTAATCCTACTCTACGACTACTAGATAATTTAACATTGCCTGCACTCCTTCTGCCCATGGCAACTTAGGCGAAATAAATTATTACTTTACTGATGATTAATATATCCAACCTTTTCTCAGATTTATATGTCTACAACTGTCTGAATGTAATACAGCAACACTTTACCAGTTGCAGTACTTCCATGGTTGGTCTGTTCCATTCATAATTGTGTTAATAATAATGTGTTACCTTACCTCCTATAAATGTCATTGGGTTCGCTTCTCTTGTACATGTAATGAAATGTTTATGATGACCAACATCAATCAAGTAGTACTGCACATTATGTGAAAATATGTACCGAAATGTTGATTGATTTTACAAATACTTGATTATAATTCAAATTGATGTAAAATTTTTAAATTAAAAGTAGAAAAGAAAATAGCTTATAGTAATTTTTGATACTTAAGGGTTCCAAATTTAAAATTAATAGTTTAAAATGCTATTTTTATTGACTTACTTACAGATGTTCAATTGGATAAGCAAACATTACTGCAAGAGGAAATGAATAAATTCCCAAATTTAGCGCCATCACAGACATTAGTGCATTTACCAACAGAACATCCTAGAGAAATAGGTAATTTGGTACACCAAAACTACTTTGGTACTTTTACAAAAGATGTTAATAAACTGGTGTAAAAATATATGCAAACGTTTTTACATTTTAATATGAATGAAATGATAAATTAAATTTAAGAAATTGGTCACATCTTGTGTGTAGATCTACTTTGTATTCAAAAAGAACATTGAAAAAAAGTTAGGAATAAAATTAATTTAGGATTTCCACAGGAGGAAGAAATTCAACTTTTTTAATTACAAACAAAAGCAGAGAGCTTTTGACGAACATCCATTCCTTTTTTAAAAGTATGTAATATTAAAAGTATGCATATTTGTTTGATATTGTTTTTGGTAATTATTTGTTCTGCTTAGACACCAGTCCATAGAATAGAGACACATTTGAAAGAAAAAAATAATAACACAATCACAAATATACAGATGTCACCTTATTCTTCTGGTTATTCCTTGTTTGGCATATTTTTATTTGTCAACATATTGATAAAATTTGATATGATTTTTTTTATTATTTTTAGAGGTAACTACAGTACCAGTTGATATCTTACAGCCTAGTGTAGTGGACAAAGAAGGCAAAATTCGCTATAACATTTTTAAGGACCTATGGACAAAAGGCTATTATATAACAACTGGATCCAAATTTGGATCTGACTATTTGCTTTATCCAGGTAATATTCTTAAACGTATTTAATGTAATCAGTAATCACTTGTATTGATGGATGTTCCTCAGGGCTCATTTTTCGGCCCATTTCTATTTCTAGTCTATATTGATGACTTACCTTTTAGGGGATAATCATGATATAGTATTATAATATGACAAATGTTATAAATCTGAATACCAATCTGTTTTTAAAGGGAGAAGAACTAAGCCTTGTTGATTACACTGTTTTTATTGTCATTACTCTTGACGCAAAACTTCAGTGTGTTACCTTGTAACCTTGAACTTGTGATATTTCTTAGTCTATTCAAAAGGGGAAAAAATAAACCATTTTATTTTTGGCCTTCTATTAAATTGTATAAAACTTTCATAAAATAATATATTTTTCTATATAAATCGATTTCGATATTCATAAGTAATCACTTCATATTGTAGATCTCAGAAATGGTCTGAACTCTTTCATACATATTTTATTATTTTTTGCAGGAGATCCCGTGCGATTTCATGCAACATACATGGTGAGATGTGTGTATGATGCAATGACGTTTTTCCGCCCAACAAACTTTGTTGCATTTGGTCGTCTATCTGTGGCTGTAAATAAAATAGCTGTATTAGCATTCTGCAACAGATACGGAAATATTGAGTATCAAAGCCTTCAGTGGCATGACAGTATGAATGGATAAAATAATACGTATAATGTTTTTTTTATAAGTACATAATAAAAATAAGTATTTATTTAAAGGCAACTTGCAGTACTTATTAACTTGTTCGAACCTCTGTAAATCTACTGAAATAGAATTGTTGGGCGAAAACAAAATCATTTTGTAAAATTTGAATATACTGAAAAGTGTTGTGTGAAGACAGTTTTATATAAAAAACTATATTTAAAAAAAAACAAAGACTTCAGTTAGTTATGTTTGGTTGCTTTTTAATCTACATTAGTGGCCGCCTTATATAAATCCGTGGACATTATCAGAGTATTCTTGGACCCACCAGACGCTACTCGTATCGTGGCAACCATTAATTCAAGGGAACTCGGACGATGGCGTCCGATCTGAGTTGATTATGATCGCATTCTATTTTTACGAATTGACCAAGGAAGTACTGCTTCTTCATGACAACGCACTGGTTCACACGGCGCGGCTCTCCAAGGCTGCTGTACGAGACTGCGGTTTGAAGAAGTTAACCACCCATCATACAGCCAAGATCTGGGCCCTAGTGACTACTTTTTATTCCCAAACTTAAAGAAAAACTTTCGGTGAAAGCGATTTGCTGACGATAATGAGCTCAAGTCCTCTGTAAATGAACATATTTCAGGCCAAGACGAAGATTATTTTTTCAAGAGAATAGAAAAGCTTTTTTCACGAACAAATAAATGTATTGATGTCATGGGCGACTATATTAAAAAATAAAAAAGAAAACATGCGTGAGTGTCGTGGAACACTCGGTTGGAACGAAGTTCCTTTGGTAGTATATTATGATTAATAAATACAAATAAACGAATTACTAACGTCTATTAAAATGAAGCGTCATTTAAAATAATATTTCTTTCATATCAAGATAAGAAAAAGTGCGAGGGAGATGTATATTATTCCATCTCGCTCGCACTATAGAAAGGGAGTCGTGACGGAAAAATCTTATGTTTTTTCACGCCTAGCCCCCATACGTCAAATTCGGGGTTGGATTTAGAATAGTTTGGCACAAATTTGGCGGAGTAAGGTGTTTTATTTGGTAGAGATTTGGTCCCCGATTATAATAATACCACTCACATTAAAAGATAATGCACCGTTATCGAAAAAATATGTAGAAACTATTATAACCTAAAAAGCATAAAACATGGAAAAATTACTGTGAAAGCTAGATAGCATACAAAATTTTGTGAAAGTGCGACAAGGACGTAAGACTAGTGTCACATTATTGTACTGTCTATACTCTGTCAAGAGATATTTCACTAAAGACAACTACCTATAATAATAGAGAAAATTTTACCGACTTGATATATGAATATTTAATAGATAAAAAAAATTAATTTGCAGACAATAAAGAAATGATTATAATATACTGTTTTATTTCTGAATTGTTTAAAACTGCCCAGAAATACTTGAAAACCCAATAATAATTTCAGTTGTAATAGGTTAGAAGGTTGTGGCGGGAGCGAAGGCAACCTGACTTTATAGATAAGATATCTGATCTGATCGAATCTGTACTAAAATGAAACCCCGACTCCACGTAGTCTTGTCTGCCCTACTCCTAGAGTGTTTTTGTAAAGCCGTAGGCGCAGCGGGCGGGGGCTGCCCCCGGTAGTGGGGCTTTCCCTGATAGGGCACTCTCCTGCTACCCAATTCCCCCCTCCTGCCGGAGACGATAAATATTACTTTCAGGTTAGGTCTATGGGATTTTCTTTTTGATTTTTCTCAATAACGGTGTATTACCTTCTAATGGGCGTGGTGTCGGGATTAAGGGGACGCTCCCCCTTCCCTTCCCCTCAACCCCATCCCCTCCTAATGCCAAACGATTCTAAATTTCAACCCAAATTCGTACCTTGCGATAAGGAACTTCGTTCCAAAAATATTTCATAATTTTATAATTTTTCTAACAAACCCATACTAGAGAATACATTGAACGCCCCTCGTATTTTAAGTAAGACCTGAAAAACGATAAAAATAAACCGTGTTTTCGAAATATTTTATGATCGAGTGAAGTTTTAAAAATTGTGTTTTGAATCATATCATAACCAAGAATATTTATGAAACTACAAAATTATATTTTTATCCGATCAAAACGAAGAATATTTGATTGTTTACCATTTTAACTTTTTAATTCCCGACGTTTGGGGTTATTAAAAATTAAAAAAATTAAACGCGATAGAATCCGTAAAATTAGTTTAATTTAATATGTAGTGTTCGCGTAATTATAAGAAATCATTATGTTTACCATTGCATCCAAAAAGGTTGATATTAGATATCCCAGCCCTAATGCTCCTATGTTCCGTATGGTGAGTTGGTAAGTGTTGCGGAACAGGAGACTACTGGAATCGAGGCATTTCATCGTAGTCCTCAGGGGTGACAACGCATCTGCATTTTGATTCTTAGTCGAGGATAGATTTAGATGTCTATGAACCACAGCATCCACTCACTATCATGTGGACTGTGTGCTAGTTAGTAAGGTTGATTCCTACGAGAGAAGGTGATCTAGTCTTCGGCATCATACGATCACAAGAATAGGATCTTTATCCTAAAGTCTGTACTTTACTAATCAATACATGTATGCAGAATTAAAAATAAAAGCTGAAAGTAATCGTCAAAAAGCATTTTATATATAGTAAAATTTTCCTATCCAATTAAAAGTGCTATATTCATTTTCGCGACTAGGCGGCACACAGGCGGTGAGAACACGATACACAAAAAAAACAGCCACGAATGAGGACGACATATTACGTCATGATTGTTGTAAATAGTGTGCTAATAATTTTTCTTAATTTTCTTCTTTTGAGGCTAGAACTTCGTCGTTCGGCTAAAAGTTCGTCAAATAATAATATACAAACTATAAAAATCTAGTCTGCGAGAGACCTCTTAACCTCTTATTGATCACTTCACTGTGGAGGGGGAGGATTTAAAGAAACTCCTAGACTGTTAATTTTTACTTCATGAAATGAATTCAAAGCTAAATCCGCAACTTAGCTATTTCGCAAATCGTAAGGCTTTACAGTATTAAAATCATGAAGAAAAGTAATAAAATTCTCTTTCCCTCGAAATTATTATATATTACATATTTAAATGGAGCAATCTACCAACAATCTACTTTCAAAATACCTGTAGGTATACTTAGAATATTATACCCTCGTTCTATTGGCATACAGAATTACATTGTACTTAATTTGTTACCTGAAGAAAAAAAAACGATAAAGTAATAATTAAATTGTTACATTCATCAATTGTAAATCTAAAATCTGAAACATTCTATTCTTTTTATCTTTTAAATTCAGAATGCGTGGTAATGCATTATTACACGTTGCTTGCGATTAATTATTTTCCTGACTTACAGTGCGGTACAGGGAAAATATGACTTGTACAACACTACCTACTGTCCGTTCATCGTAACTTGACGCGTGAGCTGATTGGCACTTGGCAGCACTGTAATTTACAGTGTTGCATGCTTCATTACGAATAGCGTTCCCGAAATGTAGGGACAAAAATTATGGAACCGGAACAGCATATAAATGACATGCATGTCAAGCACGAGGTTGCGGGTTCAAACCTTGCTTATACGGTCAAACGCACTTTGCGCTAACAGTTAAATCTTGAAAACTACTTTATTTAGTAGAGGAATAAGGGAATTAATATATTAATTTAAATTTTGCTACTGACGTGCTGATATATATTTTTAAGTATCATAGTGTACTCTATGAAATTATTCATACGTCATTTGAAATAATCAGGATAAATTAATTAAGACAGGGTAGTAAAGAATTACTTTATATAATTATGATCAATGAGGTGTAAAGGAATCATATTATTTTCTTCAATGTTACTTGAATGATCACTGTCAATATTACTTTCGTCACTATCACTGCCAACCCACAATATAAAGCGATAACTTCCTTCATCCATTATTTTATCTTTGACTTTGTACTCATCTTCAATTTTTATAACATGTGAGCACTCTTTTTTCCAAAGCTCATTGTTTATTGAGCCAAACACTTCTTTTATAAGTGATTCCACTTGATCGTCTCTCTGGCCGATATTTTTCTCTGCGAAACGTCTCTTCACGACACTCCATATTAACTCAATTGGATTTAAATGCGCATGATATGGGGCAGTCGCAAAACATTATGACCATGTGATTTTATTAATTCGTCAGCCTTATATATGGGCTCTGGTTTATTTTTTTTTATTAACTCATAAAGCATTTTTGTCAAATTAGGTGAAAACAACAGCCTCTTGTTTTGAAGCCACTCTACCATATCTGCTTTGAGGCTCGCCATATTAGGGCTTTTATTTATTTGTAAAGTACGATATAGTGCATTGTCCATTACAATCACACAATTAGGTGGCAGGTTTGGTAAAACTTGTTTTTCCAGCCATTTTATAAAGTTATCGCTATTCATGTCGTCATGGTAGTCGGATGATTTTGTAAGTGACTTGAAGGCAGTAACGCATTATTAATGAAGCCGTCTGTAGTTCCAGCGTTTGCAATTATCCATCGTCTATCCGTACCAGAATCTCTGACCAATACACCTTCTTCAGACTCTGACTGCCAACATTTTTGCATCCCATATGAGGAATGAATAAATGTTTCGTCTAAATAGACAATAGTCCGCTCCTCTTTTCGATATTTTTTGATTTCATTCAAATAATTAAATCGCCAGGCAGCTATATCTGTTCGCTCCACTAACATTTTTGGTTTGGATTGACACTTTTTATATTTATATCAGAGTCGTTTTAATATTTTCCATAGTATAGTACGGCCACCTACAAAACTTATTTCATCCCGCAATTTGATAAGTAATTTGTTTAACGTAGGAATTTCTTTTCGTACAGCGTAAAATTACATAATTTTTTGTCGAATTGCACAAGCATCGAAGTCATCGATCTTGACCTTTTTATCACGATTTGGTGGTTTTTTCCAGGAGTTGTTACTTTTGACGGACCAGGCACACCCAAATTTGAAACTGAACTGGTCT